GCCTCCCTAACCATCCTTCCAACGATGGCAACCGCCTCGAGACCACCCCTCTCGATGATATCGAAATTCAATTCCTCCTGCCAAGTAGGTGTATCCGCTGACAGACCGACACGAGATCAGTGGCATGGCCATCCTCGGCCTTCTAGTTCTCCAAGATCTCCTCATGAGCCGACCTAGGTGGTCTTCCAGGACCATCAGGTGTCATGATAGGGTGTGACACATTAAAGAACCATGTCACATAATCCTCTACACAATACCAACTCTCAGATGTCGCCATCATTCAATACTCCAGTGGCACCAAATGATTCTCCCAATCCTGGAAGATTCCATCGAGATCTCACCGGACAATAGTGTCGGGAGCAACCTGAAAAGGAGATCTTGGTATAATCTGCACAAAGCCAAACTGCCGAATACACCACTCCGGAAGATACCTGACCATAAGATTTAACCCACAAGCTAGCCACCCAGAGTATAATGAGATGCGATCGAATGGGATAACATCCCTGTAATCCTCAAATGGCGTCCATTTGATGTCATCATGATAGTACGATCAAGATACATCCGGTAAGGCGAAGAAGAAGAAGCTCTAGGCAAATCCTCCTGTTGTACCCGACCCCGTCCTCGAGGCCTGATAACCTGCTGCACAACTCTCTCTCACCGAGCAGAGGCAGTCTGGCTTGACTTCCCTTGTCTCAAACGATTGTTCCGGTCCAGGTTGTCCGCCATATTCATGAAAAATTAATTTAAATTGTTAATTATAAAAAATAACTCAGACAAGAATTCGGATGTGCACATCCAAAACTGGTTCAGGGGAATTTCGGATGTGCACTTTCGAAACTACCTGCGAACAACCATTATCAACTAACAGTTTTTTCTTGCCTTAAATCATCCTAATACCATTTTTATACCACTCAAACACCAAAATTAATTTATTATAACAATAATCTACACAATGTAATTGATTCTAACTAACCTAATAAACTATTCTAACATTGTATGGTGAATCAAATGGAAATGACTTGATTAGAGCTGAAATTGGGAGATGAGTAGAAATGAATTTGGAGAACAAAGTTTGGATAGTAAAAATTAGGGGTTTTGCTTTAGAAAAGTTAAGGTTTTGTGTTTGAATGAAAGGATTATGATTTGTTCGTTGTTTTGAAAACAATAAGGTGACTTCAGAGATGCATCTCAAAAGTCATATTTTTTGACAAAATAAAATAACTTCGAAGATGTACATGCGAACGCACCTGTTTTTGTCAAATATGATACTTTTGGATGTACATCTCTAAAATCAGTGGGTGTTTTGAGAATTTTGCCAAAGGTCTAAAAGAAGTACATAAGTACAGCTTTTTGGCTATGAGTTTCTCTTATATACTTTTACATTAACCGTGTATATCAATTAATCTTAAATAATACTATGTGTTATTGATGGCAAAAATGCTTTTTGGCCATTTTTGTTGAAATAACTTGAAAACCATGTTCCAGCTTTTGACTTTACATTGCCTTTCAATAATACTCTTCTTCCAGTGTCATCGTCGTTTTACTTTTTTTCAACTAATCTAAATGGCTCCTCGATCGGTCAAAGTTGCAGTGATCGGAGCCGGCGTGTCCGGCCTCATAGCCGCCAAGGAGCTTCAAGAGCAAGGGCACACCGTCGTGATTTTCGAGAAGAACAACCGCGTCGGAGGAACATGGGTTTACGACCCAAAAACAGATTCCGATCCTCTCAGCATAGAGCCGACCCGAGAAATAATTCACAGCAGCCTGTACCAGTCTCTCCGTACGAATCTTCCAAGGCAAGTGATGGGATTTTTGGACTACCCTTTCGGCAAGCGAGAATCCGGTGACCCGAGGAGCTTCCCGGGTCACGAGGAAGTGGTCCGTTTTCTGGAGGATTTTGCGGGTGAGTTTGGGATTTATGGGTTGACCCGATTTGAAACGGAGGTAGTGAAGGTTGAGAGGAAAGGGAAAGGGAAAGGGAAGGAGTGGGAGGTTGAGTCGAGGCTGACTCGGGGAAGTGAGTCGGTGAGTCGTGAAGTGTTTGAAGCGGTTGTTGTGTGTTCGGGTCATTTTGTAGAACCGAAACTTGGTGTGGTTCCTGGAATTGAAAACTGGCGGAGGTTTCAAATGCATTCTCATAATTATAGAGTGCCTCATTCTTTCAAAGATCAGGTACAACAATTTTCATACTCCCAAATATGCTTTTAATGCTTTTAATTATTTTGGAAAGTTAATTGATTTATTCTCCCTTAATAATAATAATAGGTTGTGATTTTAATTGGGCTAGGACCTAGTTCATTTGACATCTCAAGAGATATTGCACATGTGGCAAAGGAACTTCATGTCGCCACTAAACCAAATCCACTATTGAAGGATATCAACTTCCAAACTGTTGCCAATATATCTTTCCATTCTTTGGTAAGTTCATTTTTCTTATCTATGCTTTTATATGATTGTCTCTAATTGATGACAATTCTCATTCTCATTCTTTTTTTAGATAGAATATGTACATGAAGATGGCTTGGTTACCTTTGAAGATGGATTCTCTACTTATGCAGATGCCATAATTCACTGCACAGGGTACTTAGGGTTTCTCACATTTTCTTTTCATAATTCCAAAAAGTTTAAGTGAGTTGGGTTCAAGTCCGTCTTAACAATGTCTTCGCATCCTGATTCTTGTCTTTACCAACTAAACCAACCTGCATTGCATTGGCTTCACATATTTGCTATTTCATCTGCTAACATTTTAACTTATACTTAATTAATTATCTTGAGGTATATAAGTTAATAATGTGACAGGTACAAATACCACATTCCTTTCCTAGAAACCAATGGAATAGTAACCATTGAAGATAATCGCGTTGGCCCACTATACAAACACGTTTTCCCTCCTTCACTGGCTCCATGCCTCTCTTTCATTGGTTTAACATATAGAGTTAATACAATTTATTTTAATCTGAGATTTATTTTTAGTTTTATATAGTTTATTGAAATAATTAAAGTTGATTATAATTAACTTGCCGTTGCCAGGAAACAATCTTCAATGTAATTGAGTTACAAGCCAAGTGGGTTGCAAGAGTTTTATCTGGCAAGATTCTTTTACCGACGGAAGAAGAGATGACGGAGTCTGTTAAAAAACTTTATCAATTCATCGAGGAAAATGCGTTGCCAAAACGTCACACTCATTCACTTCGTCCCTTTCAGGTATGTGCAATACATCCTTCAAACTATGAAACCTAAGTTTTATCGACGATATGGTAATCTTGATGATGATGAACATGGAAGATCTCATATTCGTTAAAGCGCGTCACATCGCAGTCGATAACAATAAAAGTTATTATAAAATTATTAATCACCTTTGACTGACCCTTTACAATCACTCTGTCAGGCTGACTACAAACAATGGTTAGTGGCAGAGATTGGGTTGCCTCCGTTGGAAGATTGGAGAGACGATATGTGGATGGAATGTTTTAAGAATTTTTCCGAAATGAAGGAAATGTATAGAGATGAATGGGATGATAATTATTGGGATTCCATCATTCAGAGTGGATCATCTTTCGAAGAGGAAAAGATATCGAATGTATAAAATGTTGTTAAATTGGGTTGTATTGATGAATACAAAGGTGTACATATGACAAAAGTTAATTTGATACATACAATGGATATTTTCCTGTTTGAATGTAAAGCATAATAAATAAAATGCTGCATGGAAAACAAATATGAAGAAATGGATAAAGTTTTGATATAAGGAATGTAATTTGACCTTCCTCTTTGACTTTGACATACTGCATAGCAATAATTTGACTTTGACATACTGCATAGCAATAATAGTTGGTGAAGAGTAAAATTGACCTTCCTTTCTTTATGTATTGTAATCATGGAATTGAATTCTTTATGTATTGTAATCATGGAATTGAATGGCATATCCCTATCACAGAGTACAATTGATAACGTTGTTTCTACAGAAAATGTAGTAATTAAAAATTGAAAGTAATCATACTCTAAATCCTTCAAGACCAAATTGATTTCCTGTTTTTGCTATCAGTTTGTATTTGAGTGCAATCAACGTATGTGACAATTCCTATCACATCTAAGAAAACCAGAAAAGACAAATAAAATAAAGTTATGGAGACAACATAAGTCTTCAATGGATTAAATGATGAAGTATTTGAAATGTTAGAGAGAGAATAGATTTTGTTTGACATACCTATCAAGACATTGCTTTTCCATTTTTCAGTTAAAATATCAATAAATGGAGTGAATTTTAGTGGTTTAGGTGGTATCTCATGTTTGTTTTCATCACCAATAGATGTACCACCAGTAAAAGTCAACTGAGATTTGTGTTCAGACCGCTTGAATAACAACTCATTCAAGGAAACATGAAAGTTGGCATTTGTGTACGTCTTATCGACAGTTAAGATATAATCAAATGCTTGTTTAAACGCATTGAGGACTTTGCAATGTATATTTGATTTCATAATAATTAATAGTAAATTAATGTAATTATAAAATAGGAAAATAAATAAAGTAAAAGATAAAGAAAAATAAGTAAATCGCAGGGGGTATTAACTAGGTTAAGGCAGTAAAATAGGGGGTGCTAACAACAAGGGGCTGAATTCAAATATTGAATTCATGCCCAAAAAGGCAGGAGGTGAGTTTTTTGTTCACGCAGAAAAAAGAAGGGTGTATAAGGAATAGGGCTCAAGTTCAAATATTGAACTGGGTCCAATAGGGTGAGGGGTATGTCTTTTATACTGATTAGTAAAACAAAAAAAGGTAGCGAATAGCAACTGGGCCTGGCCCAGTGAAGTTTGGGGAGTCTGTGTGGACTCCATATGGGAGGGTGCACGGGATATCATAGATACACGTATTGAGTGGCCTGTGATGATGATCTCATGGTGACGATCGGGGGCGCATGATAAGGAACAGAGAGTGACACACATTGGATCCTTAAACCTAATATATTTTCTATTTCATTTACAAATAATTCATTTCTCATATCCTCTTCTCTCTCTTCACTCCCATTCCTTCTTTTGTCTCATTCTTCGCTAAAATAACCCGAAACCCTAATCCCCTAGTCCCGACGGCGGCGTTATCTTGCCTGGTAGCCACAAAATCTCAATCCCCTCTAATCAAATCCCTGTTAACCCAAAATCATGACAACAAAATCAAGAACAACAACCTTAAGCTAAGTTTCAAAAAAATACCTCGTCGTGCTTCTTTGAGTCTTCGATTTTGGGTTCTGGTCCTTTCTCCTTTGTGTGTGTTCGTAGGTGACGGTGGTGATGGTGACGATGGCAGCGGCTCGGCAGTGCATTGAAGGGAGTTAGCGGTAGCGATTTAGGGTTTCAAATTGAAACCCTAAATTCCTCTTCTTCGGGTTTCTCAACAGAGTTTCCTCCTCTACTCCTTCTATGCTATTTTCCTTATGTAAATTTTTTTCCTTTTCGTCAATTTTCTTCACCTCTTCTACTATTTTAACCTCAGGTATTTATAGTGTTTTAGGTTTAGTCAATTTAGGAATTTTGTTAGTGATTAGCGTTATTTTTTAGTGATTGAGAAAAACTTATGTAAATTAGTCTATAGATTGATTCAATTTTGATTGTAATTGATTTGATTGATACGGTTTAGATCTGTTTTGTGTAATATAATTTTAGTTAATATTCAATTTGATTCTGTTTTGTATATTTTGATTTAGTGTTGATTTTTGAGATTTGAATTGATTTAGATTATTATTCATGCGTTTTCCCTTGATTTCGTTTCTGGGATTGATTCGCGTTTTTGGGCTTGAAGACGTATGAAGGTGAAGCCGCGCCTGTTACGGATTAGGGTTATAGATGGACAAAGGGCAAAACGGTCGTCGCCGAGTGCAATTAGGGTTTAACCATCTTCCAATTTTGACTTGGTCAATACAAAACAATAATAATTGAATATAATAGTATTTGTTAATAATAACAAATAACGGTTTTAAAAAATTAACAGTTTTAATAATAATTAATAATAGATAATATTATTAAATAAAAATGTTGGTTGACTTTAGTCAATCCTGAGAAAAAAACTTGGACTCTGGACTACAAAAACGTGAAAATGGGCTTTTTATTTATTTATTAAAACAGCCTTTTTAAACCAAATTCCAATGATATTACACTCCCTTATTTTGGACTTGGACTCCAAATTAAACAGACATCTTAGTTTACTAAATAACCACAACCAAAGTAACAACACACCCCTTTCTTTTAAGCGATCATTTGGACAAGTAAGACAATAAAATTCTCAAGCTAGTTTAAACTAAAAGATTATTTATAACAAGTTAACTAAATAGAATATGTAAACTATTGATAAAAATTATATGCTAGTTAAAGACTTAGAAAAGATATGAGCATTAATTTGATTAAATAGGATGGATAAATTTGAGGTATGACAGCTTCCCCTATTTAATTACCTTTCGATTGAATAGTGAGAGAATACGCAGGTCTCGCACGTTCTGATTGGAAGTTTATTAAATATTGGAAAACCCCAAATTTTGTTCAAAAAATTACAAAAATACGCTGTAGAGTGTTCCCACGAGTGTGAAGAATAGGCATACCATCTTACATGTGCTTACACCAAAGTTTTGTTTTAACTTAGACATGACGACACTAATAACTCCTCAGTATCTAAAAGAGATCGTAACTTTTTGCATACTCACCATAACCTAGGAGGTAAATGATACAAGTTTAAAAGGTTGACTTACTAATGCTTGAAGACTAATATAGTAAGTCTTGGTTTGATTTGATTTTGTTTATCCATCACAACCTAGAGGATGGATAAACCAAAGTATAATAACACATTGCTGCATGGAGACCGATGCAATGAATTATGCAGGTTTATTCACATATCTATCATAATCTAGGGGATATATATTTAAAAAGGAGCTTGACTACAACATTTCTGCCTAGAGACTGATGCAATGAGTAATAACGACGTTGCTGTATGGTTAAAATGCATATTTCGTACATTGTTGCATGAAGCCTGATGCAGTGAGCTATATCGCAGAGAAGGGAATGCATTGCTGCATAAAGCCTGACACAATAGGTTGAATTGCATATTTCACACATTATTGCATGGAGCCTGACACAATGAGTTGAATTGTTGATTTCACACATTTATGCATAAAGCCTGACACAATGAGCTAAATTGTAGAGGAGGAAAAACATTGCTGCATGAAGCCTGGCGCAATGAGTTAAACTGCAGATTTTTCACATTGCTGCATGGAGCCTGGCACAATGAGCTAGATCGCAGAGGAGGAAACACATTGATGCATGAAGCCTGACGCAATGAGTTAAATTGTGGATTTCGCACATTGTTGCATGAAGCCTTAGGCAATGAACTATATCGCAAAGAAGGAAACACATTGTTGTGCTGAGCCTTAGGAAATGAGTTAAATTTGTAGAGGAAGTTATTTTGATGATCAAATCTTAGATATCTAAATCAGAGATGAAATTGGATATTTACCGGATATTATTTTCAACCAAGGTAAAAATCTGATGGAGGGCCAAGAGATATTGATTTCGCCCAAAGTATGTTTTGAGAAATGCCATGTATGATGTATGTGCATGATGTCTTAGATTAGTATGAAACCTAGAGTGCATATGCATTGAGTGTATGTATATGCCCCAAATGTATGTATATTCCCCAAAGTGTTATGAAAAATGGTCTTTTTCTTTTTTGACATTCTCTTCTTTTAAACCATTGGTTTTGAGTTACCAATTCCCCAATGTTGCGTTGTTGCGGTATCTTGGGATTGGTTCGACCATGATGAAGAGGGTCAGTAAGCTCTTGATATTTGTATCTTGTATGTAAGCTTAGATGTTGATGTAGATATGGATATTGGCGTGGACGTAGGCGTAGGCGTGGAAATAGGCGTAGATGTGGATGCTGGCGTGAATTTTATTTCGATATTTCCCTAACCAAAATGCTTTTCAATGTTTTATCAAGTGCTTTTATTTGTATGTCGATTCTCCAAAACAATTTCAAACAATATTCATAAAAAAATAATTGTAGTATTTTGCAAACAAGTCAAAAAATAAGAAACACAATGTTTTTATTGATAAATATGCCTCTAGATAGGCGAGCGTACAAGATGCAATCCCTAGAAAGAGGTAATTACAGAAATTTTTGAAACTGTAAATGGCAATGAAAATGATAATTGCTAATGTTTTTTTCCCCAATATCCTTTTGATAGCTCCAATCCTCTTTGCTTATGAGTCCCATGATTTGGACCCATTTCTCCCTTTCATGGTCGTAGTCGTGGTTTGTAGATTGTAGTCTTTTTGTTCTTTATTTCTTTGAATAAGATCCCTAATTTTTGCATGGACTTCCCTTTCGGGTTTTAAATCCACTGGATAGTTTTTTTTGCGCATGTCCCTAATTTTTGCCTGGATCGCCCTTTAAGATTTTCAATCCACCGGGACGCTCCTTTTTGCCTAAGTCGCCCGTTTAGGGTCCGAGCTTAGAAAGCTTTTTTATACATAGTATTTTTTTACTGCGCCTGAATATGTCGGATGCAGTAGTTCTTCCCCATCCATTGTTGTGAGGATAAGACCACCACCAAAGAATGATGTTTTAACCATGTACGAACCTTCATAGTTGGGTGTCCATTTACCACGTGAATCAAGGTGAGGTAGCAGAATCTTCTTGAGTACCAAGTCCCATTTTTTGAATACTCGAGGACAAACTTTCTTGTCGAAGGCTTTCTCCATCTGCTTCTGATATAATTGATTATGGCATAAAGCCGTCAAGCGTTTCTCTTCAATGAGTTTGAGCTGGTTAAGTTGAGTCTGAACCCACTCTGCTTCTTCAAGCTTTGTTTCCATTAGAACCATAAGTGATGGAATATCTATTTCAACTGGAAGTACCGCCTCCATGCCATATACTAGAGAGAAAGGAGTTGCACCCGTTGATGTGCGTACGTAGGTACGATAGCCATGCAGAGGAAAGGGAAGCATTTCGTGCCAATCTTTGCATGTCTTCACCATTTTGTGAATGATCTTCTTGATATTCTTATTGGCAGCTTCGAAGGCCCCGTTCATCTTGGATCGATATGGTGAGGAATTATGATTCTTGATTTTGAAATTATTCCATATCTCCTTCATCATCTTGTTGTTTAGGTTGGACCCATTGTCTGTAGTGATCCTGCTTGGAACTTCATATATGCATATGAGAGTTTGCTTGATGATCGAGTAACCACTTGACTTGTCACATTTTCATAAGATGCTGCTTCTACCCATTTGGTGAAGTAATCGATGGATACTGGTATGAAACGGTGACCGTTGGATGCTTTTGGTTCAATCATGTAAATCATATCAATTCCCCATATTGAAAACGGCCAAGGAGAGCTCATAACATCCAGAAGGGTTGGTGGCACATTCATTTTGTCGACATATATTTTGCATTTGTGACATGTTTTTCTATAGTGGTAGCAATCGGCTTCCATTGCCAACCAATAATAACTTGCTCGTAGGATTTTTCTAGCCACGGCGTTCCCATTTGTATGAGTTCCAAAAGTAACTTCGTGGATTTCTCTCATAAGTGTATCTGCTTCATGTTTCTCTACACATCTCAGTAGCACCATGTCATAGTTTCTTTTGTATAGCACATCACCACTCAGAAAGAATTTTGAGGCTAGATTTTACAGAGTTTGCTTGTCAATGATAGAGGCATTTTTTGGATATTCTTGCTTTTCAAGGTACCTCTTGATGTCATAGAACCAGGGCATGTTATTTGGCCCCTCTTCAATAGCAAGGCAGTGTGCAGGCTCCTCAAAATGTCTGATTGTAATACGCGGTTCGTGATTTGGCCAAGTTACTTTGAACATGGCAGAGAGAGAGTTACCAAGTGTAATACGGTGGGAGAACTGACTTTTGGTTTTGCATTTTATCGCAAATGTTGCGGATAACAAGAGTCTCCATCGACTTTTATTTTATCCAATAAATAAAAGGGTGAAAAAACAAGAAAGACCTTTGAGAATTTTTCTTGAGTTTGGGGGGTAGGTTATGAAAAGGGAAGGTGTTAGCACCCTTTCCATCCGTAGTCATCTACAGGCTCTTAATTTCTAGCTCACTTTGAAATGCTTTGTGTTTGTGTATGTTTGAAAATATTTTGAAAATGCCTAAGTGCGGAAATTCTTGTATCGTTGAGAATGTATACAAAATGTTGATTTTGAAAATATTTGTTTAGTGGAAAGATGTTTTGAAAAAATGCCAATGTAAGGCAGTTTTACTTTATAATAACCCTTGTATCAGTCCTCAAGAGTGTTTATAAAGCATCATGAAAGTAGTT